CAAAAGAGTGGCAGATCGGGGTGGTGGTACCCCTCTTCAAAATATGGGGGACCAGAGAGTGTGTGCCAATTACAGGGGTATCACACTACTCAGCCTCCCGGGTAAAGTCTACTCTAAGGTGCTGGAAAGGAGGGTTCGGCCGATAGTCGAACCAAGGATTGAAGAGGAACAATGCGGTTTTCGTCCTGGTCGTGGAACAACGGACCAGCTCTTCACTCTTTCCAGGATCATAGAGGGGGCTTGGGAGTATGCTCAACCAGTCTACATGTGTTTTGTGGACTTGGAGAAGGCGTATGACCGGGTCCCCCGAGAGATACTGTGGGAGGTGCTGCGGGAGTACGGGGTGAGGGGGTCCTTGCTTGGGGCCATCCAATCCTTGTACGCCCAAAGCGAGAGCTGTGTTCGGGTGCTCGGCAGTAAGTCGAAGGCGTTTCCGGTGGGGGTTGGCCTTCGCCAGGGCTGCGCCTTGTCACCAATCTTGTTTGTGGTCTTCATGGACAGGATATCGAGGCGTAGTCGGGGGGAGGAGGGTCTACAGTTCGGGGGGCTGCGGATCTCATCGCTGCTTTTTGCAGATGATGTGGTCCTGATGGCATCTTCCGTCTGTGACCTCCAACTCTCACTGGAGCGTTTCGCAGTCGAGTGTGAAGCGGTCGGGATGAGGATTAGCACCTCTAAATCTGAGGCCATGGTTCTCAGCAGGAAACCGATGGATTGCCTACTCCAGGTAGGGAATGTGTCCTTACCCCAAGTGAAGGAGTTCAAGTACCTCGGGGTCTTGTTCACGAGTGAGGGGAAGATGGAGTGTGAGTTTGGCCGGAGAATCGGAGCAGCGGGGGCGGTATTGCACTCGCTTTACCGCACCGTTGTGACGAAAAGAGAGCTGAGCCGGAAGGCAAAGCTCTCGATCTACCGGTCAATCTTCGTTCCTACCCTCACCTATGGTCATGAAGGATGGGTCATGACCGAAAGAACTAGGTTCGGTAGAACGGGTACAAGCGGCCGAAATGGGTTTCCTCAGGAGAGTGGCTGGCGTCTCCCTTAGGGATAGGGTGAGAAGCTCAGCCATTCGCGAGGAGCTCGGAGTAGAGCCGCTGCTCCTTTGCGTCGAAAGGAGCCAGTTGAGGTGGTTTGGGCATCTGGTGAGGATGCCCCCTGGGCGCCTCCCTAGGGAGGTGTTTCAGGCACGGCCAGCTGGGAAGAGGCCCCGGGGAAGACCCAGGACTAGGTGGAGAGATTATATCTCTGCACTGGCCTGGGAACGCCTTGGGATCCCCCAGTCAGAGCTGGTAGATGTGGCCCGGGAAAGGGAAGTTTGGGGTCCCCTGCTGGAGCTGTTGCCCCCGCGACCCGACCCCGGATAAGCGGTTGAAGATGGATGGATGGATGGATGGACAATGTGGAGTACATTAGGTTGTTTCAATTGCAAACGATGGATTGGTAGTAGAGTACTACATAATGTAATATGTTTTGTAAGTAAAAAAAAAGGGTAATCATAAGTTTCAAATTAGTATAGTGTGGTAAAATGGGGAGCTAAAAGTATAAAATGGCAGAAAATGGAAATACTAATTTCCCTAAGTAGGTAAGGTGAATTGTACTAAAGTAGGCTATAGTACTTATGTAAATGTACAGTCATTTAATATACAACATTCTGAATTAGGATAATTGTAATCTTTTGATACTGTTATTTTGTATTAACATTGCATGGTCTATACTTCTGTTCCACAAGAAGTCAATATGGTACGTTTTACCTTTTTTGCATGTTTGAATTATACGCCAGTCAGAACTGTCAAGTAAGCAAGATATCTGCCATTAGATAAATGTATTGAAATGACGTCACCCTTTTAGCGGCAACAGTATAAAACGTGTAATGCATTGCGTGATGCAAGTCTCCATCATTAATCATATTACCCGTTTTATATTGTTTGTAATATATCCTCACAATGAGTACAACTCAACCTTGTTACAAAATAAACCGATGTATCGTGTCGAGGGCCGCGTGTGGGATGAACCAGCAGGAGTCACACCGGCCCTTTGACAATACGTCATTCACCTGAACTTCCACGTCGGGCGCACTGTGGCCGCGCGCATTGACTTCCTGGTTACACGCTTTACGGGGACGAGGGGCGCCTCGGCAGCCGCTTCACACGGAGGTAGAGGCGGACGGACACACCGGGCCGGTGTTACAGGTGAGCTCGTGTCTTGTTGCTTTTCAACTGAAAAGCAGAAAACATAAGTAGACTTTTAAAACTCAAGTTGTGCGAGGAAAATACTGATGTGTCTACAAGGAGTCTCCCCGAGGAGCTCCCCGGGTGAGGGGGGGAGGGGCAGAGCCGATTCACAATCAAATATATTACACGATCCGATTATAAATAACAGTAGAATTCATGTAGTAATATTTAACAGGAGAAGGTAGAAATACTAAAGTACAAGTATCCATCAATGCGTTTCGCTGTTTATTTTATTTATTTTAATCGCGTGAGGATGCCATAAGTATCTCTTTATTTCACCTTTCACTCCTCCTTTGATTTCAAATTAAACCTTTTGTCAGTTGGGACGATGAAACAAAGTGATATCAAGTGGTCAGGATTGATAGATTAAGTTGATTTATCGCTGCACCGTGATAATCTATGAATCATTCTTCAGGCAGAATTTCCTGAGAAGTGCCTTTTCTGACTCTATACTGCTTTGAAAGACGTAACAATGACTCAAAGAATCCACAAAATAATACATAGTTTAACCAAAAATGAAAATAATTGTGAGTTGCAGCCCTGAAAATAAGTTTCTGTAATGTAAAAAAGTGTTGATTATAGAAAGAAGAAAACAAGATATACATTAAAGTTATCAAAGTGAGTTTGAGAGACATAAATAATATTATTAAAGAAAGAATAATGCAACTAATGATTTGTTTTATTGACAGTTTATATGCAGATTATTAAGTTTTCTTTACGAGATATTACATTACATGTCCTTTAGCTCACGCGTCTATCCTAAGCGACTTTCAATAAGTGCATTTCAACCATAAGGATACAAACCCAGAAGAACAAGAAAACGAAGGAGAACGAGAAAGTGCAATTTTATCAAATAAGTTGATTTACAACACGTTATAGACAAGAGCCATAAGTAGAATTATAGTGCTACAGTTAGTGTTTTAGTGGAGGTAGAGTCTGAAGAGGTGTGTCTTTAGTCTGAAGGTGTGAAGGCTCTCTGTGGTCCTGGTGTATTCAGAGAGCTCGTTCCACCATTTCGGAGCAGGACAGCAAAGAGTGGTGATCTAGTCAAGTGTTTTGCTCTCAGTGAGGGAGGGACGAGCAGTTTATCACATGCAGAGCAGAGAGTGCGGGTCGGGATGTCGGGTTTGACCATGTCCTGGATGTAAGCTGGACCCGATCCATTCACAGCATGGTACGTGAGCACCAATGTTTAGAACAAAGAGAGCAGAGGAGTGAGGTGGTTAAGGTTAAAGACAAAGATTTACAAAGATATTTTGATTATGGGGACATATAGCATATTCATTTACTGTTAACTGGCATGTTGATCAATGGACTAATAATAATAATATGGCCTTTGTTGATTTATATTCTGTATTAATAATCTGCATAGTATCTAATAACTTAAGTACAGAACTAGCATTTAAAACCGAGTGGAGTAGAAGTGTAAAATGTAAATACTCCAGAAAAGTACACGTACCTCCAGTTTGTAGTCAAGCACAGTCCTTTGTAATGTGTGTTTTTCTCAGTGGGCGGAAACTGAAGAGATGAATGCTGATGTTGCTCTCTACAGCTGTTTACGCATAGAGTAAAAACCCCAACACCCCCAATCCAAACCGCCCAGACTCTGACCCTCTGCATGGATCTTCCCTTCACTCTTTGCGGCTCCAAGCTGTTCCCGTCCCCCCTGTGAGAGAATGTACCCCAGCGAACCGGATCCCTCCCCTGCCCCCCCGCACCCTGAGGCACAGCTGGACTTCTTCCACAAGCTCGGCTACTCCACGGCTCAGGTCCTCGCCGTTCAGCAGATGTTCGGCTCCAACATGGACAGAGATAAACTCCTGGGGGAGCTAGTGAGGATCGGGGCCAGCCGGGGGGGCGACCAGGGGGCCGTGACCACGATGTCAGTGCTGTTGCCAAGAGGGGACCTCGAGGCCATGGGCCCCACCTTGCAGCTCCCTCTTACTGTATCTTCTGACCAGAGCCGAGAGGAGGGCAGCGAGGAGCAGGATGCTCTGAGGCCCGTCGTTATAGATGGAAGCAACGTGGCCATGAGGTGAGAACTGCGCCAACGGTCCATCATATTTAACCAGCAGCTATTTTGTCATTGATTCAAAACAGCTACAAATTCACTGATTCATAGCTGGAAATGGGACAATTTGCTGCTTTTCTTTGTATTACATTATTAATTGTTTGACTGAAAAATCAGAAATAATTTCAACATCATTAACGTGATTATCTACGCTGCGGCACATAATAGTGATCTGTCTATCGTTGAGATTCAGACAAAACATGATATTGACACTTTAAAACCAAAACGATTAATCAGTTAGTTCGTAACATAAGATTAATCAGAAATTAAAATAATGATTAGTTGCAACTCTATTATCATCGTAAATTGAATATATTTGCAGTTTGGACTTTTGGCATTTGATCCTTTTAAATTCAGTTCTGTTGTTGTTATTCCCTTTTATACCATAATCTGTATTTGTTGTGTGATTTTAGTTCTTTTGGGCCGTTTGGCACACGCGCTGGGAGAAAAGGTCTCTTTTACCTTCTGAGGTCCTGATTTAAGCGTCACCAGTGAAAGTAGCACAAGCCTTTTGGTATTTAAAGTGGGCGCAGGTCTGCGGGTGGTCCACAGTTAAGTAAGAAAAGAACTCCCTCTTAATAGAGCTGTATTTGGTTGTTGTTCAAAGTTAAGATCCTGAGGCAAACACAAATATTTGTATTGTAGTATGTCATGTTAATCCAAACAGGTGTCAACATGTTTCACTCAAGACGCATATGAGAAGCTCATGTTTCCTTAGAGACAGCTCATTGGTAGGATCAGGATCAGACAATGCGCACACACGTATTTAAGCATTGGGTCCGATTTCTCCACCGAAGGTTAAAAGCATAGAAAGAACTGTTGTTTTCTGCTAGGCGGGTTCGAGGAATGCAGCCTTCCCCTTTCTAGACGTGCACACACAGTTTGGAAAAAGAGAAAATACGTGAAAGAGCACACACACTCCCACACTTGTCACAGTGTACACACCCCTCTTTTGGGGTTTCCTAGTCAGGCTTTGTCCGTACCGACAAGCTGTTGGCAGATTTCTTTAATATGCAAATATAGAGGCGTTCCTGTTTCGAGACCAGGAAACCAGCGGCGCTTTTATGGAAAGACGTCATGTCAACAGGAACAGGCTCGACAGCATTTCTCTGTCAAGCGCTCAAAAACCTTTCCTTGTTCCTCTCAGTTGTCTTTTCACAACTAAGATAAATTAGACAGATATTTACATAAATATGTATATACCTATATCTATATAGATCTACATACATATACATATGTACATAAATATCTCTCTATATATAGAGTTTTGCAGAATATTTCTATAGGTAGATGAGAATAAAACACAAAATAGAATCACTTTTTGGGTCCTATGTATCTAACCTGTGGGCCAGGACGAGATGGCTCTGATGGATCAAAAGACAAACTGCTTTCCTAGTTTGTGGGCTTTTATTGTGAAATACCGGAAGATTTGAACTCATTTGATTTAGACTGAGGACTCCTCTGACCTGCCTCGGAAACCCGTTTCCTCATCACGGTGTTCTCTGCTTTGTCTTGATTCATTCAGCCACGGGAACAAGGAAGTTTTCTCTTGCCTTGGAATCCAGCTGGCTGTGAATTTCTTCGTGGAAAGAGGCCACACGGAAATTACTGTGTTCGTTCCTTCATGGAGGAAGGAGCAGCCCCGGCCAGATGTTCCCATAGCAGGTGGGCTAATGGCAATTCACGTGTGTTTCTCCTTGTGAACCTGAGGTACAAGAAAACAAAGAGAGATTTTGCTCTTGTTTTTATTTCACACTTTGAAAGGAATTAGCGTGAGTTCTTGAAAATAAATGTTGAATTTGAAAAGTTCTTTGGCCTGTATAGACCTTCAAAGTTCTGACACATCAGAGTAAAACTGAAAATGGGAAATACCCCATGTAGGTTTTTATCTGTAATCTTAATGCAGGGGTTTTCCATGTGTTTGTTATAGCAATGTATTATCAGTCACAACTGAACAGGTTTTGGTTAACCTACATCTGGAAACCGGACGTCGTGCTGCTTGTTTGCTTTATGTTGATGAACCGATTGTTCTGATGAATCCTCTGCTGCACAATTCTCTTTTAGGGCCTTTTGTAAATATTTAACCAGGTCAAAAGGCGTCTGCTCGAAGAGCCCAAAGTAAAATGAACAGCGGCTTCCCGAAAAAGATGAACTCAATTCAGGGCTAAATTGTGAGGTGACATGAGATGAGATGAGGGTTAAAGTGGCTATAATTAATCGATTTTCACAATAGGAAAAGAACGTAAGACTCTTGGTGTCAACCCCACAGAAAACAATCACCTGATTCTGCAGCTCCCTCTGCTTTCACTGTGTCATTTTCTGTTTAAAAACTCTCCACTGTGCAAATATCAGAAAGAAACAATAGAAGACTAGCTAGTCAGTTCAGAGTAGAACTATTAGGACCTACAGAATTGGTGGAGACCAAAATCCGAGCTAAAAGAGTGAATGTTGGACAGAAACACGACTGAATGATTGATACCGATAATGTTGTTTTTACAGATCAGCACATTCTGCGAGACCTGGAGAAGAGGAAGATACTTGTGTTCACTCCGTCGAGACGCGTGGCAGGCAAGCGGGTGGTCTGTAACGACGACTGCTTCATCGTCAAACTGGGCTACGAGTCAGATGGCGTCATCGTGTCTAACGACATGTACCGGGACCTGCAGGCGGAGAAGCCCGAGTGGAAACGCTTCATCGAGGACAGGCTGCTCATGTACTCCTTCGCCAACGACAAGTGAGTTTGCCCTCTTGATATGGAGGCTTTCTCTAGTGTGAGGAGTTGTACTTTTCAGGTAATGTTTGAACTCGATCCTCCCGCAGGTTTATGCCTCCTGATGATCCTCTGGGCCGCTACGGACCGACCCTGGAGAACTTCCTGCGCATGTTTCCAAAGACTGCCAAAAAACAACCATGTCCTTATGGTGAGAGAACATCTTCCGCTCTGAGCTCCTGGTGTTGTCTGGAAATTATGAGTGCGGCCAAAATATTGTCGTTTTTTTCCTTTCAGGGAAGAAATGTACTTTCGGAATCAAATGCAAATTTCACCATCCTGAGCGAGCCAAACAGTCCAACCGCTTGGTTGCCGACGAGCTTCGGGAGAACGCCAAGCACCCGTCCAGAGCTCAGAAACAATCCTCAACGGGCTCCGGCCCCGCGCCAGGACAGAGCCTGTTGCAGCTGGAGGACATGGCAAAGAAACTGTCCCTGGGACACGAGAGCAGCTCCTTAAAGAGAGACTTCAAGCATGAACAGTTGAAGGCCAGTCACCTATCCAGCAAGAGGGCCCCATCTAGAAAGGAGAAGAACGGCCAGATGCCGTCGAGGGGCTCTCAGGAGCCGCTGGACTCCGGTTTAGGCTCCATAGACGGTCAGCCATCGGAAGTTCCCTGGAGTTCATGTGACCACCAGTATGGGGTGACGTACGGCAGCTCCCAGCACACCCACAGTGCGAGACAAGAGTACTCGCCTCTGTGCAGCTGCTTCTCACTTGGCCCTTCCTCTCGGGGGACCGCGCCAGCTTTCCGGCCCCCCAAACAGCAGTACAGCCACGGGCTGGTCACCAGCCACAACTCCGGCACGGTTCCCTACCCGCCTCATTGCGCCATCTACGGAGATGACACAGTCGGCATGTCAGCACACAGTCAGCCCACAGATTTCCAATCCTGCAGAGTCCACGGCTCCCACCAGCAGCAGCGGCAGTGCTGGTCCGATCCGTTCGGGGCTCATCCCTCGGCGAACCGCAGCCTGCCGGAGGAGCGCCCCCAACGGGCTCCTCCCCAACGGGCTCCTCCCCAACGGGCTCCTCCCCAACGGGATCCTCCCCAACGGGATCCTCCCCGAGGGACGACTCCCAGCGGCGAGAGAGACGTCGTCAGAAAGAAGCTCCTCGCCATCTTCAGCGTCCACTTGGTGGATGCGGCCATGGACATGTTTCCTCAGCTGATGGACCCACAGGTGCTGGTCGCTGAGATTCTCAACCTGCAGAGTCAGCGCGGGTCGCAAAGATGAGACGACGTCCAGAGGGGGCCTGAACCACGTCTTTCAGTAGAAAGCCCGAAAAGATAAACAGGAGTTTGTCTTGTCTTATTTTTTTTGTAAAACTGTTTACTTCACAGCAAAATGAATAAAAACGATGTGATAAACAATTGTCTCATGTTCATTTATGAAAACTATTTTGTGTAAGGAACTGTACAGTCCTTAACTAAAGTCTTGTCTGAACAAGAAGATTCCTCAAACTCTGGTGGGGCAAACTACAATTTCCTCTTAAATCAACCTTGCACAATACAATGTAGGTGGCTGAACGCTTCTAATTGCTGTTTCAGGCAACGGTCCAAAATTTCCAAGACATTATATTTATGTATAATTTATTTATAAATCCTTCAATCTAGACGATTCTCTGTTTGACAACGCTGCTTTACACCTGAGCCACAGTCCCAGTACAGCAGATTTGTTGTGGAGCGCCTCCTCAAAACTGCACAGTAAACAGCGCTGCTTCGTGTACAGATGTGTTTGTGAGCAGTTATGAGAAACCGAAATCAAATGAGGTCAAAAGACTTTTAGAATCAGATAAGGATCAGTCTTGTCAGGACTTGGTGCTATAAATTTTTTTTTAAAAGACTTGAACTGATGCGAACTCATTCACGGGTAGGACACGCCGTGCTGGCAAGAGGTGGTGGTTAAACAGTACACGTGTTTGCGTCGCGGCTTGTTGCACAGGGAGCATGTGAAGTCGCGTTTAACAAGCGCCTGGAGGCAATGCTAAGAAGCTCTTTCAGTGAGATTGTCACCTCTAAACCAGGAAAACACGTTTCGTTTATTTATGCTCAGACTGCTGAAGTTGAAATTTGAGGGATGCTATCGAACTCGCGTGGTACGTGCAGGGACTCACGTGCAAGACTGGAAAAGGGATGTCTCTCAGCACACTGTTGGATGAGAAAAGTCCACTAATCAAAGCGTGTAAATAAGGCCACTAAATGCATTGTTTGTTGTTAACGAAAGTATAGTATAAGAGGGCCCATAAACATGTACTTTAATGTGTTGAATAGGGTGCATGTAGGCCCATGCAAAGACTGGAATCAACGCTATATCTAGCACTTGTTTTTGAAACTCAGTAACTGATTAAAACACTTCACAGAGCAGCAGAGACCTGTGCACACAACAGTCTCAAGTTAAAATAGCAAAATTGTTCATCCAGCAGTTATGGAGCAACATGATCATTCAATTGTATGCATGTTTGTGTCCACTTGAGGAATGTCAGTCCCATATTTAATGTCCTTTTAGCTCTTGTTTTGGTCTCCACCAACTCCTACTCTGACTCTTTAGCTCCACTATGTTCAAAAAGCTACTCTTTAGCTGTGTCCATGTGCTGTTTGGGGATGAGCATGCCATATGCAGTGGCCCTTTAGGGATTTTTCTGCCTGCATTAGCCAAAAACAGTAAAACTGATATTCACTTTCAATTGAAATAAGTGCAGAGGAGCTGCGGGGGATAATTCTTCATTTGCGTACAGCATGGGGCACTTACTGTTCTGAAACTAATAATGTAATCCCTGATCCTAATCGTCTAGTAGGTGGAATCCCTTTTAGCAAACAGAGAAAAAACACGTTTGTGTTCTCAGTAATGTGAACTGGAATGACATGCTTTGGTTAAAGACGCTGTACATATGACACGTTTAAAATGCCGTCTTTGATTGACTCGTGTTTTCTTTGAGCTGAAGCATAATATGCAAATACTGAGGTATGTTTCCATAGGCCACATCACAGTGCCACAAGGCCCTGGTCCTGACTTTCCTGCAGTTCAAAGGGACTGCCCAAATTGATTTTTTTTATGATTAAATTAAGTAGCACAAAAGTGTTGCTTATTAATTTTCAAAAGCAATTCATATTTTGTAATAAACTATTACCTAATACATAAAAGCACTCCCTGTGGTTGTGAATAAAACATCATGTCAATCTTTACTTTTACTTCAGTAAAGTTTTAAATTCAGGACTTTTTTCTTCTCACGCACCAGTTTTTACAGTTTTTCTCAGTCGCTTTGTTGCGTTTTTCACACCATCCCTAACAGGTGCAAAATAGTAAGTGCATTTCTCAGAACAATTTGTACAAACTGCAATATACAATAGATACAGTGCATCCGGAAAGTATTCACAGCGCTTCACTTTTTCCACATTTTGTTATGTTACAGCCTTATTCCAAAATGGATTAAATTCATTATTTTCCTCAACATTCTACACACAACAACCCATAATGACAAAGTGAAAACTGTTTTTTGCTATTTTTTGCAAATCTGTTAAAAATAAAGAACGAAAACATAACATGTACATAAGTATTCACAGCTTTTGCCATGACAGTCAATGCTTAGCTCAGGTGCCTCCGGTTTCCACTGATCATCCTTGAGATGTTTCTACAACTTGATTGGAGTCCACCTGTAAATTCAGTTGATTGGACATCATTGAGAAAGACACACACTGTCTATATACAGGACTGTCTCGGAAAATTAGAATATTGTGATAAAGTTCTTTATTTTCTGTGATGCAATTAAAAAAACAAAAATGTCATGCAATCTGGATTCATTACAAATCAACTAAAATATTGCAAGCCTTTTATTCTTTTAATATTGCTGATTATGGCTTACAGCTTGGCCGCCCAGCCAGACTGAGCGATCGGGGGAGAAGGGCCTTAGTCAGGGAGGTGACCAGGAAGCCGATGGTCACTCTGACAGAGCTCCAGGGTTGTTCTATGAAGAGAGGAGAACCTTCCAGAAGGACAACCATCTCTGCAGCACTCCACAAATCAGGCCTGTTTGGTAGAGTGGCCAGACGGAAGCCACTCAGTAAAAAGCACATGACAGCCCGCCTGAAGGACTCTCAGACCATGAGAAACAAAATTCTCTGGTCTGATGAAACAAAGATTGAACTCTTTGACCTGAATGCCAAGCGTCATGTCTGGAGGAGACCAGGCGCTGCTCATCACCTGGCCAATACCATCCCTACAGTGAAGCATGGTGGTGGCAGCATCATGCTGTGGGGATGCTTTTCAGCAGAAGGAACTGGGAAACTAGTCAGGATTGAGGGAAAGATGAATGCAGCAATGTACAGAGAGACATCCTCGACGAAAACATGCTCCAACGCTCTGGACCTCAGACTGGGGCGACGGTTTATCTTCCAACAGGACAACGACCCGAAGCACACAGCCAAGATAACAAAGGAGTGGCTTTGGGACTCTGTGAATGTCCTTGAGTGGCCCAGCCAGAGCCCTGAACCCGATTGAACATCTCTGGAGAGATCTGAAAATGGCTGTGCACCGACGCTCCCCATCCAACCTGATGGAACTTGAGCGGCTCTGCAAAGAAGAATGTGAGAAACTTCCCAGAAATAGGCGTGCCACGCTTGTGGAATCACACCCAAGAAGACTTGAGGCTGTAATTGCTGCCAAAGGTGCTTCAACAAAGTATTGAGCAAAGGCTGTGAATACTTATGTACATGTTATCTTTTTGTTCTTTATTTTTAACAGATTTGTAAAAAGGTTTTCACTTTGTCATTATGGGTTGTTGTGTGTAGAACGTTGAGGAAAATAATGAATTTAATCCATTTTGGAATAAGGCTGTAACATAACAAAATGTGGAAAAAGTGAAGCGCTGTGAATACTTTCCGGATGCACTGTATGTTTCTAAAGCTAGTCAGTCACTAAAATGCTTAGTACATCTCACAAAAGTAAATATTCATGCCAATGATCATGTCAGTGTCATCAGAATGATAAGCTTAGGCTACAGTTTGACAGTTACTGTATGAAAATGCACAAGGCTGCACTTCTATGGCATATATCAATGTCAATACTATTTGCATATTACTGTATGTGGGTTATAGATTGAAAGAGACTGGACAGGATAGTTTTCCCCAGCTTTTACTACTGCTACTTTATGTAAGAAAAAAACCCCAAATACTTTATGCCCCTTCTCTTTTTCTTACTGTAAACGAAAAAAAAACTAAATTAGAAAAGCACAGGACACACCTAAGGCACAACTTTGCCCCCAGCACTGTTCTAGCGCTGTCTCTACACATCCAGACGTCCCGGTCTGTCTGCAATGTTTTATACAAAAGGTCTTATAGAAATGTGTAAAACTATATGCTTGACAGTTGATGACAAACCGTTCAACAATTTTGCATGTAAAGGCTTATGCAAGGAACGAATGCCTAGATGTTTTGAGGGGTAAGACTATTCAACCAGAGAGAACCATCTACTATATTTTCAACATGAGATGAGCAATTGAAAATGTGAAAAAAAGCTGACACTTGTACATTATCAATTGCAAAATGTACCAAAGCAATTGCAATTTGTTCAAAGGAAATTGGGAGAAATTGCTTTAATGATGTGCACACGTGACTAGATGATTTGGAATTTGTACAAGTGGTATCAACAATTGCACTTTTGATCTGAGAAATGCACGAAAGAGCCTACAATGTCCCAGGAAACGTGTGTTTTACTTGTGATCTATTCAGGGGATCACAGATCTTTGATGAAGTCTCCACCTGCTGGATCTTTGAATAATAGCACTAGTGTTTTCATGCTCTCTAAGACTGATAAGAGGAGCACTTTTCATTGCGTTGCTGTTGGAAGGTGCTACTAAACAAACCTCCCTCGCTGAAGACGTTCGTTCTTTAAGTTTGTTTTATTCGCGCATCTTATCTCTCCCGTATACATGTTCTTGCTTATTCTGGACGCAGAGCTAAAACTACAAGTTCCATCTCCAATAAACGTCACTACCCAGAAGCCAACTGCACCTCGCACGTGCGCAGTCAGTCCCGGTGTGATGACGCTGTGTTTGTTGTCTTAACCATGTGTGCAGCTGCTTCTCACTTGGCCCTTCCTCTCGGGGGACCGCGCCAGCTTTCCGGTGTTACACCCCTACTGGTTTTTCCACCTACTGGTTTCTCTACGCGTGCGTGTTTGTGTTCAGTCCACAGCTGCAGATGTGTCCGCCTCAGTTCCCTGATTCGAGGACGGGCTCCTCCCCGACGGGCTCCTCCCCAACGGGCTCCTCCCCGACGGGCTCCTCCCCGACGGGCTCCTCCCCGACGGGCTCCTCCCCAACGAGCTCCTCCCCGACGGGCTCCTCCCCGACGGGCTCCTCCCCAACGAGCTCCTCCCCGACGGGCTCCTCCCCGACGGGCTCCTCCCCGACGGGCTCCTCCCCAACGGGATCCTCCCCAACGGGATCCTCCCCAACGGGCTCCTCCCCGAGGGACGACTCCCAGCGGCGAGAGAGACGTCGTCAGAAAGAAGCTCCTCGCCATCTTCAGCGTCCACTTGGTGGATGCGGCCATGGACATGTTTCCTCAGCTGATGGACCCACAGGTGCTGGTCGCTGAGATTCTCAACCTGCAGAGTCAGCGCGGGTCGCAAAGATGAGACGACGTCCAGAGGGCGCCTGAACCACGTCTTTCAGTAGAAAGCCCGAAAAGATAAACAGGAGTTTGTCTTGTCTTATTTTTTTTGTAAAACTGTTTACTTCACAGCAAAATGAATAAAAACGATGTGATAAACAATTGTCTCATGTTCATTTATGAAAACTATTTTGTGTAAGGAACTGTACAGTCCTTAACTAAAGTCTTGTCTGAACAAGAAGATTCCTCAAACTCTGGTGGGGCAAACTACAATTTCCTCTTAAATCAACCTTGCACAATACAATGTAGGTGGCTGAACGCTTCTAATTGCTGTTTCAGGCAACGGTCCAAAATTTCCAAGACATATTTATGTATAATTTATTTATAAATCCTTCAATCTGACGATTCTCTGTTTGACAACGCTGCTTTACACCTGAGCCACAGTCCCAGTACAGCGGATTTGTTGTGGAGCGCCTCCTCAAAACTGCACAGTAAACAGCGCTGCTTCGTGTACAGATGTGTTTGTGAGCAGTTATGAGAAACCGAAATCAAATGAGGTCAAAAGACTTTTAGAATCAGATAAGGATGTCTTGTCAGGACTTGGTGCTATAAATTTTTTTTTAAAAGACTTGAACTGATGCGAACTCATTCACGGGTAGGACACGCCGTGCTGGCAAGAGGTGGTGGTTAAACAGTACACGTGTTTGCGTCGCGGCTTGTTGCACAGGGAGCATGTGAAGTCGCGTTTAACAAGCGCCTGGAGGCAATGCTAAGAAGCTCTTTCAGTGAGATTGTCACCTCTAAACCAGGGAAACATGTTTCGTTTAATTATGCTCAGACTGCTGAAGTTGAAATTTGAGGGATGCTATCGAACTCGCGTGGTACGTGCAGGGACTCACGTGCAAGACTGGAAAAGGGATGTCTCTCAGCACACTGTTGGATGAGAAAAGTCCACTAATCAAAGCGTGTAAATAAGGCCACTAAATGCATTGTTTGTTGTTAACGAAAGTATAGTATAAGAGGGCCCATAAACATGTACTTTAATGTGTTGAATAGGGTGCATGTAGGCCCATGCAAAGACTGGAATCAACGCTATATCTAGCACTTGTTTTTGAAACTCAGTAACTGATTAAAACACTTCACAGAGCAGCAGAGACCTGTGCACACAACAGTCTCAAGTTAAAATAGCAAAATTGTTCATCCAGCAGTTATGGAGCAACATGATCATTCAATTGTATGCATGTTTGTGTCCACTTGAGGAATGTCAGTCCCATATTTAATGTCCTTTTAGCTCTTCTTTTGGTCTCCACCAACTCCTACTCTGACTCTTTAGCTCCACTATGTTCAAAAAGCTACTCTTTAGCTGTGTCCGTGTGCTGTTTGGGGATGAGCATGCCATATGCAGTGGCCCTTTAGGGATTTTTTCTGCCTGCATTAGCCAAAAACAGTAAAACTGATATTCACTTTCAATTGAAATAAGTGCAGAGGAGCTGCGGGGGATAATTCTTCATTTGCGTACAGCATGGGGCACTTACTGTTCTGAAACTAATAATGTAATCCCTGATCCTAATCGTCTAGTAGGTGGAATCCCTTTTAGCAAACAGAGAAAAAACACGTTTGTGCTCTCAGTAATGTGAACTGGAATGACATGCTTTGGTTAAAGACGCTGTACATATGACACGTTTAAAATGCCGTCTTTGATTGACTCGTGTTTTCTTTGAGCTGAAGCATAATATGCAAATACTGAGGTATGTTTCCATAGGCCACATCACAATGCCACAAGGCCCCCCAGTTCAAAGGGACTGCTCAAATTTTTTATGATTAAATTAAGTAGCACAAAAGTGTTGCTTATTAATTTTCAAAAGCAATTCATATTTTGTAATAACCTATTACATAATACATAAAAGCACTCCCTGTGGTTGTGAATAAAACATCATGTCAATCTTTACTTTTACTTCAGTAAAGTCTTAAATTCAGGATTTTTTTCTTCTCACGCACCAGTTTTTACAGTTTTTCTCAGTCGCTTTGTTGCGTTTTTCACACCATCCCTAACAGGTGCAAAATAGTAAGTGCATTTCTCAGAACAATTTGTACAAACTGCAATATACAATAGATACAGTGCATCTGGAAAGTATTCACAGCGCTTTACTTTTTCCACATTTTGTTATGTTTCAGCCTTATTCCAAAATGGATTAAATTCATTATTTTCCTCAACATTCTACACACAACAACCCATAATGACAAAGTAAAAACTGTTTGTTTTTTTGCAAATTTTTGCAAATCTGTTAAAAATAAAGAACGAAAACATAACAGGTACATAAGTAGTCACAGCCTTTCCCATGACACTCAAAGTTTAGCTCAGGTGCCTCCTGTTTCCACTGATCATCCTTGAGATGTTTCTACAACTTGTCGGAGTCAACCTGTGCTAAATTCAGTTGATTGGACATGATTGAGAAAGACACACATTGTCTATATAAGGTATCACAGCTGACAGTGCATATCAGACCATAAACCAAGCCATGAAGTCCAAGGAATTATCTGTAGACCTCCGAGACAGAATTGTATCCAGGCACAGATTTGTCGAAGGGTACAGAAAGATTTCTGCAGCATTTAAAGTCCCAATGAGCACAGTGGCCTCCATCATCCGGAAATGGAAGAAGTTTGGAACCACCAGGACTCTTCCTAGAGTTGGCCGCCCAGCCAGACTGAGCGATCAGGGGAGAAGGGCCTCAGGGAGGTGACCAGGAAGCCGATGGTCACTCTGACAGAGCTCCAGCGTTGTTCTATGAAGAGAGGAGAACCTTCCAGAAGGACAACCATCTCTGCAGCACTCCACAAATCAGGCCTGTTTGGTGGCCAGACGGAAGCCACTCCTCAGTAAAAAGCACATGACAGCCCGCCTGGAGGACTCTCAGACCATGAGAAACTAAATTCTCTGGTCTGATGAAACAAAGATTGAACTCTTTGACCTGAATGCCAAGTGTCATGTCTGGAGGAGACCAGGCACTGCTCATCACCTGGCCAATACCATCCCTGCAGTGAAGCATGGTGGTGGCAGCATCATGCTGTGGGGATGTTTTTCAGCGGGAGGAACTGGGAGACGAGTCAGGATTGGCCCAGCCAGAGCCCTGAACCCGATTGAACATCTCTGGAGAGATCTGAAAACGTCTGTGCACTGACGCTCCCCATCCAACCTGATGGAACTTGAGCGGTTCTGCAAAGAGGAATGTGAGAAACTTCTCAGAAATAGGCGTGCCACGCTTGTGGAATCACATCCAAGAAGACTTGAGGCTGTAATTACTGCCAAAGGTGCTTCAACAAAGTATTGAGCAAAGGCTGTGAATACTTATGTACATGTTATCTTTTTGTTCTTTATTTTTAACAGATTTGCAAAAAACAAGTTTTCACTTTGTCGTTATGGGTTGTTGTGTGTAGAACGTTAAGGAATATAATGAATTTAATCTATTTTGGAATAAGGCTGTAACATAACAAAATGTGGAAAATTGAAGCGCTGTGAATACTTTCCGGATGCACTGTATGTCTCTAAAACTAGTCAGTCACTAAATCGCTTAGTACATCTCACAAAAGTAAACATTCATGCCAATGATCATGTCAGTGTCATCAGAATGATAAACTTAGGCTACAGTTTGAGAGTTACTGTATGAAAATGCACAAGGCTGCACTTCTATGGTATATATCAATGTCAATACTATTTTCATATTACTGTATGTGGGTTATAGATTGAAAGAGACTGGACAGGATAGTTTTCTCCAGCTTTTACTACTGCTACTTTATGAAAGAACCCCCCCCCCCCCAAATACTTTACAGTAAGAAAAAGACGAGGGGCACAAACGGAAAAAAAAACTAAATTAGAAAAGCACAGGACACACCTAAGGCACAACTTTGCCCCCAGCACTGTTCTAGCGCTGTCTCTACACATCCAGACGTCCCGGTCTGTCTGCAATGTTTTATACAAAAGGTCTTCTAGAAATGTGTAAAACTATGCTTGACAGTTGATGACAAACCGTTCAACAATTTTGCATGTAAAGGCTTATGCAAGGAACAAATGCCTAGATGTTTTGAGGGGTAAGACTATTCAACCAGAGAGAACCATCTACTATATTTTCAACATGAGATGAGCAATTGAAAATGTGAAAAAAAGCTGACACTTGTACATTATCAATTGCAAAATGTACCAAAGCAATTGCAATTTGTTCAAAGGAAATTGGGAGAAATTGCTTTAATGATGTGCACACGTGACTAGATGATTTGGAATTTGTACAAGTGGTATCAACAATTGCACTTTTGATCTGAGAAATGCACGAAAGAGCCTACAGTTTCCCAGGAAACGTGTGTTTTACTTGTGATCTATTCAGGGGATCACAGATCTTTGATGAAGTCTCCACCTGCTGGATCTTTGAATAATAGCACTAGTGTTTTCATGCTCTCAAAGACTGATAAGAGGAGCACTTTTCATTGCGTTGCTGTTGGAAGGTGCTACTAAACAAACCTCCCTCGCTGAAAACGTTCGTTCTTTAATATATAATATAAGTAATATAAGTTTGTTTTATTCGCGCATCTTATCTCTCTCGTTTACATGTTCTTGCTTATTCTGGACGCAGAGCTAAAACTACAGGTTCCATCTCCAATAAACGTCACTACCCAGAAGCCAACTGCACCTCGCGCGTGCGCAGTCAGTCCCGGTGTGATGACGCTGTGTTTGTTGTCTTAACCGAGTGTCGTCAGCTATTAAACGCATGTTGCAGTTATGTAGCACGTAGAGGGACGACTTGACCCCGCTGAACGTCGGCTAAGCCCGCAGTCCGCGTGCGGGACTCACGGCTCACCAGCTAGCGCTAGCTAGCATTGACTTAGCTAGCCCGAGGCTAGCAGCCGAGCTGGTGCGTTTGTTCCCCCCCCCCCCCTCCTCTCGTCCGGGCGGCTAGCCGAGTGTCCGCGGAGCAGAAGACACCGCGCGGCCGCCTCCTTATGCTGTTGCTGGTCTGCGGGGTCCAGCTAAGATGTGGCAGAGTGTTGGTCTCACGCTGCTGGTCATCGTGGCCACGCTGGTGTGCGCGCTCCTCTTCATGCTGTTCGGTGAGCTGAGACGTCGCGTTTACGCGCTGCGAGCGAGCCGCCGCGCTTCTGTTGTCGAAGCACGAAACACTCGCTAGCTCACGTCCCATTTCCTACGGGAACACGTCCTATTTCCTACGGGAACACGTCCTATTTCCTACGGGAACACGTCCTAGGAAATAGGACGTGTTCCCCCCCTAAACGTTCGACTCTTCGTTCCCGTGTTCGGTGTCTTTGACCCGCAAGTTTCCGCGTCAGTAAGCAGTTGCTATTTTTAGTCGCAAGTCCGAACATAAGGACGAGTGCTGCTCTCCGGCCTGTGTTGTTGTCCCTCTCGTACCTGAGGAGTCCGGCTGCGCACCTGTGGGGCGCACAGTGCGGTGTGTGTGCGGAGGCGAGGGCCCCAGCTGGGGCCTCTCATGGGAAACTGGGCCCACTTCCTGTAGCTCCTGGTGTTCAGACACTCCAATTTATTTACTTAATTAAAGTAGCAATGGAGGAAGTGTTATCTGCACGTGTTCTGTAACAAAAGTGAAGCACCTCTCTTTAAAATCGGCCCCTGCATGTTTATATAATTGTACCGTTGATGTTGTTATTATCATTTTCAATCGCATGAATCTCTACAGTTCATTGCAATGTTCACAATGCAATAATGTATCTCACATCTCAACTTAAATGCATTTTGAATTTAAAAAATACAAACTATATATTTTGGTATATTTTTATCTGATTCACAGATTGTTGCATTTATTTTTGTGTTTAATGTAAACGGCGAGTTAAAGAGGAACTGGCAGCAACATAACTTCATCAGACATGGCAGACAGTACATGACGATGGCGTCTGGTTTGTTCAGGGGAAAAAAGGCCGGTTTCTGAGCCAAAGTCTCCCAGTCAGGTGAAACGTCATCGCTGGAACAGAACTCTGAGTTCTGCTCGACGTCCTCGGTTTAAACACAAGGTGACAGTGTTGCACTGCCAGAAAAACAGCCTCCTAACAAACCCAGAGGGCTCCTGGCACATCGCCATTAGATGATGACCTGTAGTCCACTCAGTCCCTGTGTCTGGTCTGAAGTAAATCTATTGGGACCTTTTTAGGACCAGCTGACACAGCTGAGATTTACTGAACTTTAAAGTCTGAAGTTCATGTTCGTACTGGATTTTCTTTGGTGAATCGCTGTCACTACTCCTGTAAATGGCTGTTTGTCTCTTCTCTGCCCCTCAGGTTGGTTTGTAGTCTGGCAGCTCTTCTTGTCCAAGTTCAAGTTCCTGCGGGAGCTGGTGGGGGACGCCAGCACCCCTCCAGCCCAGTCGCAGCCGTCCGAGTCCAAGAGCGAGCGCACAGCGAGCGCCGCGCCCCGAGGCCGGCCCAGGTCCGCACGCCAAAGAGTCGCCTCTCAGGAAAGCCTTTCATAGGTCACCCACAGCGTATCCCGCCACCAACCCCACCCCCTCTCGCCGCCACCAGCCTCTACAAGCGGTGTGTGTGATCAATCAGAAGCCCTGCTACACTACACAAGGACCACGTGCAGGGCCGGTACTCAGCCCTCCTCTTCACCACGACACTTTAAAGCCAGCGGCCGCGTCGCCTGCTCTCAAAGGGAAAAGCCATTTCCGTCAGCTGTTCACGTGTGTCACTATGCAGGGGGCAGCGAGTCTGGACCTCCTGTGTTCCCGTAGTGGGGACGAGCCGCGCTGCCTCCTGCACCCACGCGTAGTGTGAAGATGCTCCGTCACTAGAGAGAGAGACGCGTTAACGCTCTTAAACCTGCGTGTTTTAATCTTGTGTTTCCAACAGAACAAAGTCCTATTTTGTACCAAGTAAGCCAGATAAATGTAAAAAAAAAAAATAGAAATCATAGACAACAACTGAAGCGGGGATTTGTACAAACTGATAACTTTCTTTTCTTGTGCAATGAAATGAATGTTTACGCCGTCATTTACTTGCTTCTCTGCGCGCTTCCATCCACGGGGGGGAAAACTGTCTCGCTCCAAGACGAAGAGGACAAATGACTTCCAGTTGTGTAAAACGGGAAATGTCTTTCTTGCCACTTCTCCTTCACCCTTTTGAATCGAATTGTATAGATTTGTACTTGAAGAGGGGCCAGGAGAAGGTCGGCGTCGGGGCGGCCCCTCCCCGTGCCTCTGTCTGCACCAGTGCCTGACCACAAGGCACGTCACATGACCTCCTCTCTGCACTGCCCACAGCATCATCAGTACACGCCCACGCTAAGCTAATCAATATTTATGTATTATTCTCCCTCCGAGTCAAACTCATGTAACTGTTGCACCTTTTTTAATCAGCAGTGATTTGTTTTCTCTCAGTGGAGCAGGAGCTTCAAATAAATAATGCCATGAATATAATGAGTCTGTCTTTTTGTAAGAGAATGGGATTTGAGTACTTTAAATATACATTTCTTTTTAATTGGTAAAAACAGAATTCCTCATAAAGTGCCTCACTACACTGAAGGTATCCAGACAGTAATTCTCTCAATAACCGTAAAGTCTGAGGGAAAACAGGATTCGTTGTAAATAATTATGTTTTTGTAACAAACACAGAGCAGACTGGTGGTTTGTTCAGGGGAAAAAAGGCCGGTTTCTGAGCCAAAGTCTCCCAGTCAGGTGAAACGTCATCGCTGGAACAGAACTCTGAGTTCTGCTCGACGTCCTCGGTTTAAACACAAGGTGACAGTGTTGCACTGCCAGAAAAACGGCCTCCTAACAAACCCAGAGGGCTCCTGGCACATCGCCATTAGATGATGACCTGTAGTCCACTCAGTCGCTGTGTCCATAGTGACCAGTTATTATTAGAACAATGTCTCAATGTTTTAACCCAATTAGTCTTTTAAAAAAAACACTATTACGATCTTTTTAGGACCAATTGTGAAAATAAAGTGATTTGTTTTAATATTTTTGAACACATGTTTGGGTTTTTAAATGAAAACCTAAACTACTGCTGACAATATAATGCTAAAATAACACAAAGACCTCTGAGTCCTCTGCTAACTTCTCTGTGCCCTTTAAGCTTCGCTGGCTCATTGCAGCCACTAATGACCCCCCCCCCCCCGAGAAGTCTATGACTTAATCTACTGTATGTAGAATTTAATTGGAAGCCGTCTAGATTTTTTAAAGACCATTTTAGTCTTTGACAGTTTAATCCACTTCAGCCCCAGGAGTCATCAGCTTATTGCTGAACGCCGGGCGGATGCAGTGACTGAGCCACGTTGTCCATACGGACACTTTTCAAACTTCACATGAAGCTAATTTCCCCGGAGCATATTTTCTTTTTGTTTGTTTTCTCTTTTTTTTCTGTCAGTCAGCTCTTTTTATACTTTAACGATCATTTCCCTCACAACTGCAACAACGAACTTTTCAGTTCTCTGTTTGCAGTTTACAGTTCTGCTCCAGTTCTTCACCCACCACTGCGAGAACATACAATTGAATCATACTTGAAGAAGACATGCTTCTCATTTTATAGTAATTGATATTCGTCTTCTGGCCATTCCGGTCGATGGACTCTGATGGCTGGAAGCTTCTTTTTTTCCTCCGTCCTAATGATGCTCCAGAAGAAAGAGGCTGCGCCGAGCTACCGAGCTGTGGAACGTCAGAGCCTGAACATACTTGACAGGAAATGATTCTGGTCAACCGAGGAAATGACACAGACTGCAGTGGTCCTCTAACTCGCCCTCTCTCTTTATATACAGAATACACGCATATATAAAGAGATAGATATCCATCTCTTATCTGCATATGACAGCAGGTATCACACACTACCTCTCCGATGACCTTTCGCTGTTTGTTGACTCACCAAACAGTTGAGCTCTCAGATCCCTAAACCGAAGAGCAAAAAGCCACGCGGGACCCGAGTGGATCCATCACAGCCGCCAGCTCTAGAACCAGTCGTCCATGAGAGACTCAAGGTGTCCCGAGACGCAGCGCAGGGACCAGTGTTCAGGTGTTCTGGCTTTTAAAAACACTAGCGTAAAAGTCCAGAGTTCACAGTGTGTGTGTGCAGGGGGGGGTTGGGGGGTGGGGGGGAACCCTGAATACTAAACGTTCCATCCCGACAAAACGCACATAATGGCACGCAGGATTAATGCGTTGGTCACTGTGATAACGGATATTTGTAGCCTCCTTACTCACCGTGTCTCCCTGGACTTTGTGCTTTTTAAAGTCGTTGCATTCCTTTGGTCCTCATCTCCCCGGTGAGCAGCGAGTGGAGGCCTGTGAGGATTTTCTCCTTCCCAAATGAGATTTTGTGATTGGGAGCTGAAGCCTCGCCGCGGTCGCCTCTTCTTCACCTCAATCAATCTGTCCACAGAGGCGCCTCTTTGTATTTCACACTGTATTTCACTCAGGTTCTAATGAAAGAGTGAAGTGTTTTTAGTCGTATCCCACAGTAACTTAATGCTCCCCAGAGGCCGATTGCCTGCATTCGATCAATCCTCCCCACGTTGAAGCACAGAGAATGCGTCCTGGCTCCTCTCGGTCCAGCAGCGGCTTGTCCCCCGCTTGTCCCTTGTCCTCCACAAGGCCTTCGAAAACAGTGACTGGACGACGTGTCGGAGCAATTACAGCAAAACGAGAAGATAAAGGGCCGGATTTACAATCTGTTCAGTGCAAATGGTGACGTTACCGTAGCAACGGGATTGTTGTGTCGAACCTCCTGAACAAAATGCTGTAAGAGAATATTAACAGGGATGTATTTGGTTCACATGATCTTTGCGGATTCAGATAGTGTTTATCTGTAATCGCTGAGCTTTGATGTGGTCAATGAGTGAAACGGTTGACGTGTCGACTCATTCAGGGGATGTGGTGCTTGTGATAAGATGAACTGTAGACGTGAACGTTTCGTTCAAACGGGACGGAGATAACTGCAGCTCATGTTCAGTGTTTCCCGAGCTTTTAGCTGCTTATCACGGTCTTCAGACGTCCACATTTTAGCTTTTGGTGGTCTTCACCAGCTAACGCGTGAGCACCAGCATTACAGCTCCTTGTTTACTCCGAGTGAGTGAACTGAATTTGCTGATGAAAAGCGTGAGAGGGTTTAGAGGCCCATCAACAATAAACATGTATTATTTTAATTATATTATTCGATCTATGGATTGAGACCAGAATTTGACACATTCTACTCTCCACGTGGAAGTTTTTTTCTGACACGCTGTACTTACAAAATGTATAAAGTATTATCAAAGCTTCATAATGTACCCGCTGCAGATCAAGAGAGTTAAGAGCTTTGGGTAAAAAAACTAAACTAAAACTAAAACTATTTTAGTGTAGTAGTGCCTCATTGTGTGGTCTCAATAAAAAGCTTATTGTTTAGAATTTCAGTCTTCAGTCCATAATTGCCTCTATGATAAACTATACAAGTTCACCCCTCCAAAAGAACACACACACACACGCACACAACACACAACGTGATTTACAAGGAGATTTACTGTCACAACAGCAGTAAGACAACACGACTACACGAGGAGAACAAAGCAGAAACACTCACATCTCATAAGGTGCTTCTGAACACGCCACAGGAATGTTATGAAAAGGTCTACATGATACTGCACCTACACACGTATATTCAAACCATCATATAAAACAATCTACACAAAAATAGAGCATATATTTACAGAACGGGTACTATTTACAACATCCAAAACGCAGAGATAAGCAATATATATATATATATATACTGTAAATATATATTTGTACTAGATCAATGTACACACGCAGTCCGTGTCCTGTGTGAAAGTCACAAACCGGCCAGCTGTTCTTTGAACTGCTGCGCGTGACGCGACAGGTCGGTGACCCGGTCCACCATCTCCTGGATGGCGCCCGTGTTCGGGTAGTTCAGCGCGGCCGTTTTGGTGGCGGCCACCACCGTCTTCAGCAGGTCGCACAGCACGTTGCTGGAGTTCATCACGCGGTTGGCCACCTCGGGCGCCGACGCCTGCCTGGACAGGGTGTCCCCGATGAAGACCAGCTTGTGGGCGCTGAGGATGACGAACTTGCTGTGCGCCACGAAGATGCGCGGCGGCTGCCGCCGCCCACGCAGCCGAAGAAGGCGTCCACGGCGTCGAGGAGCGTGGCGAAGTGCTGCCCGCACTGCTCCGAGTAGAAGCCCAGCAGCTGGCGGTCCCGGGCGCACAGGCGGGCGGAGGGGGGCGGGGCGGGGGGCGAGTCCGAGGCGGCCGGCGGCACGCCGGCGTGCTTGTGCGAGATCCACTGCGTGACGTCGTTCTCCACCGGTTTGATCACGTCCTGCTCCAGCTTCTTGAACTGGTTGATCTGCGGGGGGAGAGGAGAGGAGGGGGGGTAGTTAGAGGGGGGCAACGGGTCTCATTGTAATTTTTTTTTAAGTAAGAAAAAGATTAGCGAAGCCACAGGAAACGCAAATGATCCCAAAAATGAGCCGCAGAAGCAGATGTTTGTCTCCCTGACACCCTGAGGGCCAACATCTGCGTGTGTTTTCTGGTATGAATTCATAAACATGCAGGACGTGATAATGATCCTGGGCAACAACATCTGTGAGGGGGCACAGAGAGAGGGGGGGGGGGGGGTAGGGGGGGCGGGGCTCACCTGCTCCTGGCCCAGCTGCACTTGACTCTGCTTGATGATGTTCTCTTTGTCCAGCAGCTCCTTCTGCTGACGCTCAAAGTCCTCTTTGCCCTGCGGAGGAAGACGAGCAGGTGAGAGGAGGCAGCAGGTCCTCACACATCCATGTGCTTCGTCTCCAACCGGGTGAGATGGATTTAAACACTTCAAGGACTTACCTGCAGGTGCACATAATCGTAGTCCTCCATCCAGCTTTTCACACACTTCTCGCTGATGTTCATGTGCTCTTTGTCCTGGCCGGGGCACACGGGGAACGGCTTGGTCTGCCCTCCGTAGTTGTTGTTATCGGACGGGGGCGAGCCGAGCGGGTGGGCGGCGCCCTCCTCCGGCGTGCTCCCGGCGGAGAGCGAGCCGTCGGCGTGCGTCCGCCTGAACAGCAGCTCGGCGCTGCTGCCTATCGTGGAGGCCAGCTGCTTGGCGTCGTCGGGTACCGTCCGGGACACCATGACGAAGCGGTCCAGGTCGTCGCTCTTGTTGTGGTGCTTGCCGGCGGACGCCAGCGCGTTCAGGGCCCAGCTGCAGCCCTCCAGGACCTGGTAGACCTGCAGGAGGATCTGCTGCGAGTCCTCCAGGCGCGCCAGCTGCCGCCTCAGCTTGCCGTGCAGGCCGGCGTCCGACAGAGCCGCGGCGTTCGCCGCCGCCCCTCTGCCGAACGCCACCAAATCCCCGAGGGCGGCGCGGACGCGGTCCAGCACCGCGCGGACGTCGTTGCCATGGCGCTCCATGAAGGGGAAAGTCCTCCAGTGAGGGGAGGCCGCCATCGATTGCAAGGCGCCGACCGCCGCCTCCACGGCCTGCTGCAGGCGGAGCAGCCGCTGCACCGCCGCGTCCACGTCCAGGCCGAGGCGGCCCTCGGCGGCCGAGCCCGTGGAGGACGAGGAGGTGGACATGCTGCTGCGCGTGCTGCCGGTGCTGGAGATGGACAGGCGGTTCACGCCGTCCGTCACGTCCCCGGCCGCGCGGGCTTCCCGACGGGGACGTCGTAGACGCTTTGGCTCCGGTCCCGGTCGGCCGGCGGGGTCCTGTGCTGCTGCGAGGGCGGCATCCCCCGCAGGACGTCGTACACGTCGCTCGGGGACCCCGCCCCCGAGTGCAGGGCGGGCGGGGGCACGTCGTAGATGCCTTCGTTGGCGTTGGGGTGCTGGTGCCGGGCGGAGGGCTGCGCTGCGGGGGGGAAGTCGTAATGCGACTGGGGGCTGTGGGAGGGTTTGCCGAGGGCGGCGGGCGGCACGTCGTAGATGCCCTCCTGCTTGTGCTTGAGAGGCTGGGGGAAGTCGTAGTTGCCCTCCTGGAGGGCGGGGTTGCTCCTGCAGGGGGGCACAGAGTACACCTGCAGGGAGAAGAGCAGCGTTGGTGAGAACTCACAATCTCTGTGTGGGTTTATTTGAAAGTGTCATGAAATCCCAGTTTCCTCCCTCTACCACGGAGCACGCCGAAGCATCAACCTGCCTCTAGGTGGAGCGGTTGGTGCGTGTAGTCGGAGCCCGGGGGGGTGGGGGGGGGGCCTCCATCAATGTTGAAAGTCACTCAGTGCAGCAAGACAAGCCCGCCCCAAAACCCGAATCCAGAACGACGCAAATAACACGCTGAAATCTTAGCGGGTCTGGAAGGAGAGGAGCTATACGGCCTTCGCTCTTTCTCTTCTTGTAAAGGCCAGATGGAGAAACACTCGCGGCGCTTTTGGTTAAACTGCTGGCAGGCCGAGCCGCCACTTAGTGCCGCCGCAAGAATGTCTTAAATGTGACATTTGACGTATTACCCACTCATTGCAGACAATTAAGAGAAATACCAGCGACTGTGTCAATAAATAACTTGAACGGTTACCACTTGGGCAACTCGATTGGACAGAAACGTCGGCCTGATGGGCGGGACGTCTACTCACCCCTTGAGAAGACGGAGGGACGTCGTACACGCCTTGCGTCCTGAGGTCCATTTGAGACGGGGGCACGTCGTAGACTCCCTGGTTTCTGCCGCCGGGGAACATCTGACCCGGAGGGATATCATACACCTGAAACAGGAGCGGAACCATGAACATGACTCGTAGCACCCGAGCAACGGCCACTACGGCGTCCTGCTGCTACGCTGTGAAGGATGCACCACGCCACTTCAAGAGAACCTTTCTCCGGTGAGCTGCAAGGTTTACTGGCTGCAGGTCGGTGCAGACAGCAGGATGTTTGGAGGATAAAAACAGTCTGAAGATCAAAGACAAACACGCGTTTCCTGCCGTGCGAACTACGACTACGACGTTCTGATTGTTTCTAGAGCGACGTGGTTTTGCATTATAGCAGATACATCAACGAAAACTAGAACTCATTTAAACTCTTTAAACGTTGACATTTTTCTATCCATGTTCATTTGTCAATGGTACTATTCTTATGATATTAGTGGAAAACTATGGATGTCTGATAACACATTCCACTATCTAGAGAATAGAACGTGAGACTCTTACCCCCTGTGATCTACTGGGCGGGACGTCGTAGAGGTCCTGCTGGTTGTGCTGGCCAGGGCTGAAGGTGTAGGACTGTCCCACTCTGGTCGGGGTCACCACCTGTCCGATCACAGTGGGGGGGGGGAGCAAACAATCAGAGCTGCTGTCCCAAAAAGCAAACGACACCTTTACAAACACAGTCCTCCTGCCACCTGCATCTCCTGACAGCTGTGAGATGAATATATATCGCTTTCATTTACTAATGGAAACAGTCGGTAAACAAGTAAATCTTCACTTTGTGAAATGTTTTGGTATTAAACGTGAGGCGGATGGTGAACGTGTTGAAGGAACCAACAAGCCTGATGCTAAACTAAGTAAACAAAGAGAAACTCGGCTTTCATCTTCTCTTTTTAGCACATTATCCTTCCGTGCTCGTAAGCACCGTCATTTTATCAATTTAATCATCACTATTCCCTCCCACCAGAGAGCTGAACCGCCATGATGTTCACAAAAGACGAGACGATATGAGGTAATTCGACTTTGTGTATTGGGTCTGCAGATTTCACAGCTTTAAAATCATAGCTGCAACAAGTCAACAAAGTTAAAGATGTTGGCAGTAAACCTCAGAAATGTTATTT